CCGCGCGGGGCTCCCGGCGGGACCCGGGGGAGGACGTCTTCCAGCAGGTGTGCTGAGGACACGGGGGCGGCTGTGCCCCCCACCCGCCTTCCCCCGCCTGCCCAGACGAGGCACGAGGCACATCTGCAGGCTGGGGGCACATCTGCAGGCTGGGGGGAGCCCGTCCTGGCAGCCGTGCTGCTCACACAGACGCCCGGGGCGACCCAGGGGCTATCAGTGACCAGCTCCCTCCTCCCTGCCACTGAGCTGGACCACTGCTAATCCCAAACCAAAGTATTCCAGCCAGACTTTCCTTTCTAGGAAAAAGCATTATTTAATAGCAGTACAGAAACAGACTGTGTGCCTTTTGCCTTCTTTTCTCTTTTATAGAACCATTTGTTTTGGCTGCAGAATACAAGCCCAGCATCTGCAAAAGTGAGTGCGCTGATCTGGGAAGGGAACGACTGCAAGAAGGTGGACATGTCTGTGCTGGAGATCAGTGGGATTATCATGAGCAGGGTAAGAGTCATTGCAACCCCCACTCATGCTTCAAAGAACACCAAAACCTCTGAAAATAGCTACACATGCAAACATGATGTGCAGTATAAAACTGGTCCCTCCTCAACTGTAAACACAGTTGTCCTAAATGTTCTTACTTAAAAATTGCATAACCCAGCATTGTGGAGGTCCTGTTGCAGACTGAGGGGTGCTGACAGTTACTGGCTGTGTTTCTGCATTGTGCTGAAGGTGTTTGGTTTATTGACCAATTGTTGTTGGGTTTGGACTGGAATGGGTGCAATTGTTTTTGGCTTTGTCCTTTGAAGGGAAGAGGAACCGAATGATTGATTGAATTAATGCTGCCACCACAACATGCCTTTTCCCTCATGCAAAACCCAGGTAATCACCCTGTTTTCGTTCCTGCCTGCCAGGTTAATGCCTACCAGCAAGGAGTCGGGTACCAGATGCTGGGGAACATCATCACCATTGGATTAGCGTTTCTGCCGTTCCTCTACAGGCTCTTCCGCACAGATAACCTGGAGCAGCTCTGCTCCATTTCTGTGAAGGAGCTTCTGCACATCTTCTGTGGAGCACCTGCCAGCATCCCTGTCATCCTTTTGTCTGCCATCAACTTCCTGGAAAGGCTTTGCTTAACCTGGATGTTTTTCTTCATGATGTGTGTTGCCGAGAGAACGTATAAGCAGGTACATCTAGAGGTACAGAACCCTGGGCACGTGTCGTACCAAGCCGGGCTGCCTGCCGCGGCAGAGCCTGGCCGGACAAGCGCGGCTGAGCAAGCGGGAGTGTCACAGCTGCCCAAGAGGTTTAGGTGGAGGAGTCTCGTAAGACTTCCATTCATCAGCCCCAAACTTACACCTGGCAGTGCCCTTCCTGACCCCTGCACCCAAGGGAAAAACAACTTTCAACATCTTGATGTGGGGCTCTGCATGCAGCGCGTGCTTCAGCGTGGAGCTGTTGGGGAAGAAGAGAAACTCTGCGGAGTTCTCCTGTTCCGGGACGGGTCATGAGATATTTGGCAGCAGCACACTGGGCCCCCACAGGGCTGTGGGCTGGAGCTCTGTCAGGGTGGCTGCAGAGGTGTGGGTGGCAGGCAGGTCATTCACCGTCCAGCGACAGCTCTGTGGCTCATCCTGCCCAGCAGCAGCTGCTCTGACGCTGCTGTGCCCCAAGTGACCACTGCCACCAGCCTGAGGGGCTGGGCACCAGCGTGCCCATTGGGCCTCCCCAGCGCCACAAGGCATGCTGCTGCTTCTGCCAGCCATCACTAACAGAGCCCAACGGTGTTCTGCTTTAGACTAATTTGTTCCTGTCTTTAATTTGCAGAGGTTTTTGTTTGCCAAGCTTTTTAGTCACATTACATCTGCTCGGAAAGCCAGGAAATATGAAATTCCTCACTTTAGACTGAAGAAGGTAGAAAACATTAAGATCTGGTTATCTCTCCGTTCCTACCTAAAGGTGAGTTCTGACCCCAGACTGGATTACTAGAGGGTGTACGGGTGTCTCCAGGTACACATACTTCACCTTGCTGCTGCCTGGGCAGCACTGCTGGAAGCGTTGCAGTGGCTTGCAGGGAGCCCTGACTTCAGAGCTCCACTGCCGAGCGTTAGAGCTGACTGGGTGTCTTTGCTCCTGCAGAGGCGAGGGCCACAGCGATCCGTGGATGTGGTCGTGTCGTCCATCTTCTTACTGGCTCTTTCAATTGCTTTTATATGCTGCGCCCAGGTGAGATTTTTATTTTTTTTTTAATAAAAGAAGTAGGGAGCAAAATACCCCAACTATTGGAGGCTTTTCTTTTGCCAACCTACAAAGTGCTTGATGGATGCTCAGCAGACCCTGACTGGCTGCGGTGGGTTCTGTGGGGCACGGGTTTCTGGAGGAGGTTGTGACAGTCCTAGTCCTGGCAATGGCAGGATCAGCATAGCCCGGCTGTGGTGGACTGAGGCAGCCCCTGGGACATGCAGGCAGGAAAGGAAAGCACTGTATTGCCCGTTAGTTGGGAAGAGGGAGGAAGGAAAAAGAACAAGCACCCTTTTCTCGGGGGATGGGCAGGAGGAATCCAATTCCAAGCTAACGCCAGGTTGTCAGAACCCAGAGCTTTACTCTGGTGACATGAGTGAGTGGCACAGCAAGGGTAAAACCGCGCAGCCGTCGCGTGCGGGCGTCTGTTCTGAGGGGGACGCTCTGCTCCCCACACAGACGTGTTACTTCTTGCTGACACTGGCACTTCATTCTTTTCAATACAGGTTCTTAAGGGTCACAAAACATTTCTGAATGCAGCTTACAACTGGGAGTTCCTCATCTGGGAGGCAGCACTTCTCCTCTTTTTACTACGACTGGCATCATTGGGCTCTGAAACCAACAAGAAATATAGCAATATTTCCATCTTGCTCACTGAGCAGGTGTCTCCATTTAGCTTATTCTCCCTTTGGCTTTGTGGCTTGTTTGTTTACAGTGACAGCATTTCAAACTAGCTTAAAAATATCAGCATCAAATTTAGAAATCAACCCTTGTGCTGGACAGGAGGCAGTAAAACACTACCAGTTGGGGAAGGACAAGCTGGTAAACATTTGGACAGACTTAAATTTTAGAATTCTAGATTAATTTTGTCTCAGGATTAACATGGGAGCCACGTCAATCAGAAAAAGAATAATATCACTGCTAAATTCCTGTTTGTGGATGCATCACTTCTTCAGAAGTGACAGTAGACTGCAAAAGATGGCTCCAGTTTCCCTTTAGAAATTAGTTGGGTGTCTAGTGCTGGAATATCAACATCTGGTCTGTCATGTCTCTGTCATAGATAAACTTATACCTAAAGATGGAGAAGAAGCCAAACAAGAAGGAACAGCTCTCCCTAGTAAACAATGTTTTGAAACTATCTACGAAGCTGCTGAAGGTGAGCTGCTCTCCAGAAACTCTGAGCTCCTGAATCCTATTGGAGCAACAGCTAACACCAATGACTCCCTAGTTTTGTGCTTCTGTAGCCATGGCACAAGAAAGCGCAGCTCGAGAGTCACATAAATTGGTCCAGACAAATTCTACAGCCCACGTCAAGCTCGTTACACAGCTCATGTTGCTCCAAAGGAGACTGCTCAGCCTCAGCATGGCTGTTGGGAAACATCTGGGAGGCCTGACAGAGAGAGTGGGAATTTCTGACCATACATTTGAGGCTACAGTGGCAGTACTTGGTTAGCAAAGTCTGCCAGAGAGCCAGGATTAAGCTGAAAGTCAGAGGATTAATCACTTCTGGTATGGACAAATGCTAATTTTTTTTTTGCCCCCTTTCACTGCAGGAATTAGATACTCCATTTCGGCTGTATGGACTGACCATGAATCCATTAATCTACAATATAACACGTGTTGTGATACTCTCTGCTGTCTCGGGTGTTATAAGTGACCTTCTAGGATTCAATATCAGAGTAAGTACAACTCCCACAGAAACTAACAGGAAACATCTTGTAGGGATCACTTCTGTCCCATTGCCAAATTCCACACCCCCACCACCCCCAAAGGAGAAAGGCTGGGCTTGAATTGGGCTTCTCTGCACGGTGACTCAGAGACCAGCCCACACTGAATCTCCAGCTCGCTGAGCCCCTTTGGGGAGGGGGGCAGACAGGACCCACGTGAATTTCAATCCTGTTCATATGCCCACTTAAAGCCGGTAGTGAGAATCCAGGTTCTTTCCCTTTGGAATGAAGCCAGAGTCCTCCTGTGGCTCACCCACAAACTGGAGCTTGCTGAGCAGAGCATTCAATGCAGGATGGGTGAAGGGGACCAAGTCTCACCTGCAGATGACGTGCATTCAGACCTGCAGCTTTCAGGCCCACACTCACTCTCGGTATCTTTTCAGTTATGGAAGATTAAGCCGTGACCTGACTGTACCTCAGCGCTCGGCCCTCGCCGCCACGGGACATGACCAGGCTATTAAGTGGGGAAATAACCAGGAGCCTGGGCAGCAAGCAGAGGTGCTCCCAGCGACAGCAATCTGTAATTATGATTTTTGAAAGCAGCATCTCGGTGTATGTATCAGTCCCTCCTCTGCTTTGCTGTTTCACAACATACAGACTAGACTGGTCTAACCAGTGGGATCGGCCCGCGGCGTAGCACTCGAAATCCCAGACTGAGGGGCTGAAGGCCAGGACCTGGAGAGCAGAGGAGCCGCGTGCGGCCAGCGCGGG